AAGCACTTGCTGCATTCACAAGCATATGTTGTATCTAGGATAAAGAATTTGCATTGGCTTGCCCACACGTGAATGGCTTCTGGCATCCAGCAATAGCTGGCTCCTGGACAGATGAGATGACACCAATTATGCCAGCCAAGGCAAAGCTGAAACCTGACGAACTACTAACAAGCAGAAGCAAGCTGACACAGGATGAAGGTTTCTGATGGCTGGTGGTTTTCTTCCTTGGACGGAGAAACCAGGATTTTACACTGTATTTTTAGAAGAAGGGAGTATCTAGGGGAAGGTAATATGATATGAGATGAGAAAATGGAGTAAAACTTTGCTTTGGTGGATTTGTTTGTCAGACAAAGCACGGCTTTTTGGAGCTGGTGCTGGCGCCTTTGGCATGGTAGCGAATCTTTGCTGTCACTGCAAGAACTCTAGTCACACAGCTCATGTGCGCTGGCAGTGTGGCCGCCCCATTTCCTAGCTCTGGAATGTATGTTTGTTTTCTAATGTGAAGGCCAAAGTGCATCAGGTGCTTTGTATGCTAGTGGTGTACTGGAGGGTTAAATTAACCAAGTGTTGGACAAACACTGCACAATTTGTTGTGTGCTGAGACACTCGTGAGCTGTAGGTACAGCTACCATGGTTGCTAGTGTATCAAGAAAACTGTTTCTATGTCTGAATAGAAACCGGCGGCAGGAATGTTTATTTGGCCGATAAACACGCTGACTGAATTGCATGATTTGCATCGAACAAATGGAAGTAGCAGTTGGAGCTGTGAACAAAGAAAAGAGAAGAGTGGTATGGATGCCCAATGTTCCGAGATAGTAGTATGCTAGTTCCATGTGGATGGACGGCGTTGGCCTTGCCTGCCTGGTCAATGTGAGAGAGATCAGTCATTTTGACATTACTGCTGAACGTGGTGGGTAAAAGGTTATTTAATTTTTATTTGTCCTTTTAAATGGAGGCAGGCAATGTAGTAGCCCAGTAAGCGTGTTGAAAGTTTTCGTTTTGAAAAGAGCGTGCTGAAAGTTGGAAACGTAAGCGTGTCTGTTTGTCTCATACGAGTAGAGAAATGGAATGGACGGTGCTACGTGGTCCGTCAAGTAAATGACCGAATGGGGAGGGATCAGATGGTGGTTGTTTATAATCAATTGATTATTTAAAGAGCTTTAGATTTTGAACAAAGTACTGGTAGGATTAGTTGGACCTGGAAGTGGAGTTTGAATGGAGAGGTGGCTGGTTTGGCGGGCTACAAACTACTCGTAGAATAGAATATAGAGGTCGGTGGTCACCCCTATGTGCAATTAAGGTGCTGTTTGTTACGGCTCCGTCGGGGGCTCCAGGAGCGGCTCCAGCCCAAACTCAAACAAACGGACGGCTCCCTCATGGGCTCCCGCGCAAAACACGGACGGAGCCGCGGCCTGAAATCGGGTGAAGCCGGGAGCATCCCGCGGGTGGCTTCACGCGCTCCTCCTGCCGTCCCCACAAGTCCACGTCAGAGGGGTACCCAAAAATATCGCCTCCGCTCGTCTCTCTCCCCCGACTCCACCTCTCCCGCTCGTCTGGCCTCTCTCTCCCCCGAACTCGACCTCGGCGAGCGCCGCCATGGATCCGGCCCGCCGTCCACAGGCGAGGTCGCGAAACGAAGGAGAAGAGCCGCTTGAGGACTCGACCAAAGGGGGTGAAGGATTTGGAGGCGGATTGGGCGACGGATTTGATCCCTTTGGCTTCGAATCTCGCGACGGCGAGGACGCGGCTGACGGCGGCGACGGCGCCGCTGCAGGCGCTGCCTCGGGTGGTGCTCGTCGCGCGGGCGCGACAGCGGCCGCGCCTGCATTCTGGGGCGCACGCGCACCTGGAGGAGGAGGGGGCGCGCGTGGAGGTGTGGCTGTTGCCGAAGGGGGAGCAGGAGGGGCTGCAGGTGGAGGCATGCGTTCGTCAGTGTTCCCTGGCACAGGAGGCATGCCTCCGATGTGGCCTGGGTTTCCACCGCCATGGGCCGGCGTTCAGGCTGCCGGTTCGAGCTCCGGCGCTGGTGGGTGGTCAGATTGGTTGGCTGCCGTAGCAGCTATAGGTCCTAATTTGTTGCATGGTGACGTTCCAACCATGTCTACTGGAGCTCCTCGGACCATGGGGATTCATAGTGATGCTACACGTGAGGAAGAGGCGCCTACTCCGCCGCCGGCCACCAATCGGCGTAAGCGTGCTAGAGCACAGAAGCCTCCCATTCCTGCAGCGACTGCCTCCGTCGACATCGACCTCACCGAGGGCTCAAGGTGATTAATGCTCCTTCCACATTTGTGAATGCTTGCTGTTCATGCGAATGATTCATGCATAGCTATATGTATTCCACATAATCTTGAAATTGATGCAGCAAGATCATTCCTTGTTGTAGACAAAACTACCGATGCTTGCTTCATTGTACATATTTACATTTTGTGTCTTGAAAACAGCGTGGCTGATTGGTGTGATGAGAATGTAAGGATAGCATGTGAGCTTTTCGCCGAAGAAGTGAAAAATGGAAACCGTTCACACACCCATTTGAATTCAGCTGGTTATAGAAATGTCATTCAAAGATTTAAAGACATAACTGGCAATTCATACACTCGAAAACAGTTCAAGAACAAATGGGATAAATTGAAAGCTGACTTTGTCATTTGGAAGAAATTGAAAAAGCAGACCGGTATTGGATGGGATGAAAGTGAGAAGAATATCAAGATGCCGGAGGAATGGTGGAATAGGATGTCAAAAGTAAGTGTATTGTGTTTTGCAGATTATCCTTTGTTTGTGATTAACCACTATGTCACAATATATTTAAAATCATTTTGTTTTGTGCATTGCAGCAAATCAAGGGATCGGGTAGGTTCAAAGATAGAGGCCTTCAAAATGAGGACAACCTGCAAGTGATGTTTGAAAATCTTGAGACCACAGGTGATGATCATTGGAATGCTGCTAGCGGTGTAGCGCCAAGTCCAGGAAGTCACAATGCTGCCATTGATCTTGATCCTAACTTTTCTACTACACACCCTAGGATTAGTGGTGATCGTAGGATGATGCCTTTTTTTAAAGATTGCATTGGAGCAGTTGATGGTACTCATATTACAGTGACACCGCCTCCTCATGATCTTATTAGATATATTGGGAGAAGTGGTAAAGCTACTCAAAATATTCTTGCTGTGGTTGATTTTGATTTGAGGATCATATATGCATCTATTGGACAACCTGGCTCTATGCATGACACAAGTGTGATGTATCATGCCATTGAAAATGATCCAGAATTTCCCCACCCTCCCGTAGGTATGAAGTTATTTCTGTATGTTGCTTTCTCCCAAATGCATGTCATCTAAACTATCAATTTCTAACCATTTTCGTTTGGTTTAGGAAAATTTTATAATGGTGATGCTGGGTACCCAAATCGTCCGGGATACTTGACGCCATACAAGGGTCAAAGGTATCATATTCCTGATTGGAGGAGAGGCGCCGCTCCAAGTGGAGAGCAAGAGGCTTTCAACTTTCTGCACTCAAGTATACGTAATTCAGTTGAACGCGCTTTTGGTGTGTGGGAAAACAAGTGGAGAATTCTTTTCAACATGCCGAGCTATCCTATGGAGAAGCAAATGATGATTATAGCGGCTACCATGTGCCTCCATAACTTCATCCGTGAGAATGATGCACTAGATAAACATTTTGTGAAGTGTGATCGAAACCCAGATTATGTGCCAACCATTCCGTCAAGATACGCGAGATACGTTCCTAGAAATGCGTCTGATACATCAACTCGACATTCTAGTGATCGGTCCATGGATAAGTTCCGCGATGATCTTGCAAGGGCAATTTATCTTTCTAGGTCTTGATCTATGGTTGGCTGATCGGAACTACTTTTGTAACCCAGATTGTATGGTTGGCTGATGTCTTATGATGGGAGCTAATTTTGTAATTAACCCAAACTTTATGGTTGAATGGTGTCAAATGATAGGAACAACTTTTGTAACCAAGACTTTATTATTTTACATGCTACTAATTATGGGATTAAGCTCTAATCCCAGATTTATTTATTTCTATTGTCATGTTTAGTCACATAAAAATAAATATAATACAAGGAATGCATGTGTACTATGAGGCAATGTGTTCAAGGGCACTTTAGACAATTCACTCTTTCATCCATGAAGCTGCATGTGAAGCTGCATGTGAAGCTGCAGGAGAAGCTGTTCTACCAAACGATTTCAGACACAGCCGGAGCCGGAGCCGGCACAGCTGTTTTCCAGAGAAGCCACAGCCACAGCCGGAGCCGGCACAGCCGGAACCCAAACAAACAGGCCCTAACTCGTAGAGTACAAGGCAGCAAACAGAATTGATATTTCTGTATTGATTACCGCATTGCGACAGCGAGTGGATGCAGTAAACAGTTATCTAATATGAGACACCTGTACCTTGTTGGTTCAAGATATAGAGCCTTTTACATACATGTTGCACTTACAAATTTACAATGAAGGGAGGCGACGCCATGCCATCCATTTGCTGCCATTCGCAGGCTCCATTGAGCTAGAAGGCACGACCACGACATGGATTGGTTTGGATTCTGGTCATGCTCTCTTACCTTATGGTATCAGATTACGCTAATCAATAATAAAGGCACTGAACTATTCTTGAAAAATTAAGGTACTGAACAAAAAACCTTCAAATGATTTCACTGTTTCTCAAATAAATCATGTCACTGTGGTCCAGCTCCATGCTCAAGCTTTGAAGTGGAGCTGTCTTGGTGAGTGGGCCTTTCCACTATTTTGGACTTGTGCTGTCGCCAGTAAAGATGGGTTCGGGTCAATGACGCCCCGAGCTTCGTTCCTTGGGCTTTGGGCCGCTACACGAGGATTCTGTAGGCTTTTGAACAATGACTGGGCTTCTTTCAAGATGAGGAGTGGGCTGATTCTATCACTTTGTGGTCCAACAGAAAAACAAAGCTTTTCCCTCCCTCAAAAAAGGAAAAACAGATAAACAAAGCTGAAGTGAAAGGGGTCTTGGCCTAGTGGTTAAGGCAACTGAGTAACACCTTTGAGTTGAGGTCCTGGGTTCGACTCCCGGTGGGAGCGAATTTTCTAGGATTTAACGGCATTTGTGCTTTCAGCGGTATTCGACGAGGCCGTCGACAACGAGGCGCCAGTGGTGACTTCGGGAATCTGGAGAATTTGCCGGCTCAGTCTTCGAAGATGCTCATAGGGGTAGGGTTTACGTATGTACGTTCATAAGGGTGAGTGTGCGTGCGTTGTGAGTGTCTGAGTTGTACTGTGTAATATCTAAAAAAAAAAAAGATAAACAAAGCTGAATAATCTCAAAAAAAAAAAAAGATAAACAAAGCTGAACAGCAAAAGGTTGGGTGTTCGTTACCATGGCAATGTGTTGCGGGTCTTGGATCCCGAGCTATAAAAATGCAAAGCCTTGGAACACGAGGAACTTGACCAATCGACCACAGATCGAGATATCAAAGTGTTGTTTGTTAAGGCGAATACGAGCGCTTCTTCCCTTCCCACGCTTGTAAAGGCAGACATGCACGTGAATGAGGCAATGCAAAGGAGATGACAATGGTGGGCGCCTGGGAGGGAAGGAGAGGACGCGAGGGCAACGAGAAAAGGGCACGGAAGGGAATTATTCGTCACTGTAATGACATGACTGGTGACCTCTCCTTTTCCTTTTTCCCGAGTTCCGTGCCTATTCCCCGCCTGCCTCGTGATCATGTCACGTTGCTCTCATCATTTCATTCCAATGCGAGGGACTACTCATTGTCGTTGAACTCGCCTTCAGTTGCAAGTTAAAAAATGGCCAGGGCGTATGCTACTAGCACCATCAGTAGCATGCGCCAACTTCATCCCGATTCTCGTGAGATAGCTCTGAAATGGCAACTAGCTAAATGCCACAAAGCACAAACGTCAAGGTCAAATTACTATACTATACAATGTTTAGTAGGAGTATATGACTTTCAATTTTCAGAAAAGAAAAATGGAGACCATTCAATCATTCATTTGCCAGCAAAGGGATACCCTTGTTACTTTTGCAACTCCGATCCCTTTTTTCTCGTCTTTGATCGACCAAAAGAAAGGGAAATAGCATCAATCGACCGCACAAAGTTTTGGAACAGCAACAGCATGAACACTTAACAGATGCCACTGAGTGCATCATAATGAAGTGGATACTCTTCGAGCTTGAGCGATCAGGTGACAGAGGGTTTTGCACGAACACAACGGCTCAGCGTGCTTGATTTGTGGAGTGAGTGATACTACTCGATCGATCACGAGCGTTCAGTTCAGCAAGCCATCAATCGACTGGGGTAAGCCACTCTTGTTCTTTTTCTGGTGGTGGGCCAAGGCTCTTTTTCTGTTCTCGCTGTCAAAGTTAAAGCGACAAAGGCCACCGATGTCCACTGATCGATCATCAACCGAACCAACAAGGTGCATCAAAATCATTTCTTTAGCGACAGCCTTCCACCAGACTCCACTTTACTCTGACTCTCTCTACTGCAATATAATACTCCTGCTATTTGTTTTACATGGGTCGTGGATTTACTACCAGCTTCATCGATATGGACTAAAACTGCATCATCTTCACTTGAGTACACTTCATCATAACTGGCAGTCAAAGCGTCGCGTATCTGTTCTTCAAGACTTCTTGTTAACATGTATTTGTATGTTGGTTTCCATAGGATATATTCGCAAAAAAGGATATATTTTCATGTGTCTTTATCTTGCTTCCATGTATATTCACAACAAAAAGCAGTGGGGATATTCGTATTTTGTGACTCTGTTCATGGTTATGCACGTTGTGTTGGCCCTAAATCTTTGTTTACAATCCTATATGCTCTGTAAGAATTTTGGATTCATCAGTTGATTTTTCTCTATCCTAAAATGTTGAGAGGTATACACTGCTAAATTAGAACATTTAGATAATCAAACATATTAAACTGCGCAGTACAGAGCCAGGTTATTACACGAGCATTGAAATGTTCGTTCTTCAGGCCTTTGCCTACACGAGCAACGGGCACAAAGGATCAAGCCTCCATTGAAACGGCCACCAACTGACAGTGGACCATGCTTTGTTCCCTAGTCACCCAACTATTCCTCTTCTCCCTCGCGTCCCTTTCCTCTGTTCCTCCACAGCTAATCCCCCACATCGAGACAGAATACTCTGCTGCTGTCACCTTCTTTTCTTTCAAAAGAATTTTGTTAATATCACGGGCCGACGACCAGCCGTCATTCTTTCCACCCGTCCTCTCCTGCGTCTCCTTCGCCATTCTTCACATTCGAGAAACCGAAAGAAGCCAAGCAGACAGAAGCAGGGAGAGGAGAGAGGGCGCACGGCGCAGGTCGCAGCAAGGAGGACAGGAGGAGCTGAGGTCGGGCGATGGGGATGGGCAGCGAAAACGCTGCGTTTCCCTTCTCTACAGCCCAGTCCCCGCGTTTCTGCAACCCCATCAGCAGCAGGAGGTGACGATTCCCATTTCATTTCATTTTCTTTTCTTTTCTTTGAGTTCAATGGGTTTTGCATCCTTGAGGAAACAAAATGCAATGTGTTGGTGGTTCCCATAAATTATCTCACTTTTACTGCGCTGGCTCATGTTTGCATCGCATTCGCCGCAGTTGGGTCCAAATGCCATTTCCAGTGGAAATTTTCTAGGGTTTCAGGCCCAAGATTAATCAGTTTCTGCATAAAATGCTTTTGCTTCTCAGTAATTATCAGTGGATTCTATGGCCTTGATAAGATGTTTCCCCTGATTGCAGTGTCGCATGATTTTGTCTATATTCAGGGTCCTAGGTTACCAATTAAAATGTTGGCATCCAAGTATTTTCAACGTTGCCTGTTGTGCAGGATATTTTCTGATGTTGCTGAAGATGTAACGGTGTCGGTGGATGGCCAATCCTTTCTACTGCACAAGGTGTTTAATTTGTTTGATAATTTTACTTCTTACTAGCATCTTTATTTCATTTTCTTTTTTACCTATAATTTTTCCCCTGTTTTACTCGCTAATGAACCTTCCGTAGTCAGCCGGTAGTTGTTCAGTCTGGTAGTTGTATTTTTTGTTGGCAAGAAATTGAATCTCAAACTAAATATTGGAAGAGTAGACATGCCTTATTTTAATATTGCACCGCCAAGTCACTTGTTAAAAAATTTACGTAACCAAGACTGAAATGAACATAAAAATGGACCATGTATCCTTGTAAATGGGGTGATGACATAAGCATGAAGTTCTTGTGTAGTATTCTTAATAGGCTGCTAGTTATAATTTCATAATTGTAGTGAAAAAAGGCATTGTGTATCGATTTCTACATGTAAAAGCTTGCAGTTTTCATCTTACAGAGAATTTTTATCAATTGAGAGCCTGAAAATAAACAACTAATGGGCATATCACGGAATTAACTTTTACATGTACTATTTCTTTTTTCACTTATGCTAATGCTTGGATCATACTTTAAGGTCTTGGGAGGGTTCATTAAATCAAGCAAATGCTAATGATACACCCTTCTGCGTAATCCATGTGTATTGTATAAACGTATCAAAGGTTTAAGATAGGTATGAGTTTCATTACATCCTTCCTATCCCTGATCTTGTTTTGCAGTTTCCTTTGGTCTCTCGGTGTGGACGAGTACGGAAAATGGTTACCGACTCCAAGGATCCAGATGTTTCAAAGCTTGATCTTGTGAATGTACCAGGGGGAGCTTTTGCATTTGAACTTGCTGCTAAGTTCTGTTATGGGAGTAATTTTGAAATAAATGCGGCAAATGTGGCCCATCTCCGGTGTGTTGCAGAGTACTTGGAAATGACTGAAAACTATCAAGCGGAGAACCTCATTGTTCGGACAGAGAAATACTTGAATGAGATTGTGTTCAAGAACCTTGACCAATCACTTGAAGTCCTTTGTGCATGTGATGGATTGGATCCGATGGTTGAGGAAATCGGGCTTGTAGATAGGTGCATTGATGCGATCGCGTTGAATGTGTGTAAGGAGCAGCTGGTTTCAGGCTTGGCACACTTGGAATGTGATGGAGGATCTGGGAAGTTGCGTATGCATTGTCAGGATTGGTGGGTTGAAGACCTTTGTGCACTGAGAATTGACAATTATCGGCGTGTGATTGCCGCAATGAGAAGAACTGGAGTGAGGCCAGAGAGTATTGGTACATCTATTGTGCACTATGCTCAAACATCTCTCAAGGGCATCGAAAGACGCCATGTATGGGACTCAGGTCCCCTTGTTGGAGACAGCCAAAGAGTGATTGTGGAAACACTCATCGATCTGTTGGCAACTGAAAACATCACAACAGTTCCTTTGTCATTCTTGTTTGGCATGCTGAGAATGGCAATAGAAGTTGATGCAGGTTTAAAGTACAGGATCGAGGTCGAGAAAAGGATCGGTCTGCAGCTTGAGATGGCATCACTGGATGATCTTCTTATCCCCGCGGTGCAAACAAGTGACTCAATGTTCGACATTGACACTGTCCACCGCATACTGGTGAACTTCTTGCAAAGGATTGACGAAGATGATTCAGGAGACTTGTCACCTTGCGGATATGATTCCGATGGACTGAAGTCTCCAAGCCACAGTTCGGTCCTGAAGGTTGGGAGGCTAATGGATGGTTATCTCGCTGAGATAGCACCGGATCCATATCTGAAACTGCAGAAGTTCATGGCTCTTATTGAACTGTTGCCAGATTATGCACGAATCGTCGATGATGGACTGTATCGTGCCATCGACATATACCTGAAGGTAAAATTCATTAGATCACATTTTCTCATGGTTTTAGGTGTTTCTACCAGTGTAGAAGTTTAATATACATACTTGATAGTTGATACAGTGACAGTGAATTCCATGTTCTGGCTCAGATATGTCCTGAAGCCTGAAACTAGTAACAGTGTACAGGAACATTACTAATTTCTGACAAAAAAAAAGGTTATATGTATAAGATCAAGTAGAATGAGGAATTTAGCTGTGATCACTAGAAAGTAGAAATTTCTATAGAATAAGTTTACTGGTCATTGGACTTTGCTCTCTATCTGAACTAAAGCTGCACATCGTTATGCCTGATCAATCTTGATGCGTTTGTGA